ATTATTGTGGAAACATACAACAGATCACCAGTGAAACCTATTCTAGACTCTTATAAAGTATCAACTTGTCAGGGTTAAGAGAAGGGTCTTTTGATTAAATTTATGAACGGAATTATTTGGGATGTTTATCACATGCCTCGTAGTTACTCGACCATCCTGCCCACTTGTTTACCAAGGGTAAGTTGAATTAATAAAACTAAGGATATTCATTCGTATACTTCGCCATTATATACGAAAGATATTCAAGAATGACTTACACAATAAACTTAGTATAAGTGGTTTTAATTGAAGCTAAACTGTTGATATTTTTCAAATTTATGCTTACTGACATTATATATCAGTTATGGCCAATATAGGAATGTGGACTGTGGTTGTTTTCGGTTGCGCCATCTTAACCTGGTTTGATTTTTGTGGATTAAAAAGCAGCAGCAATTCAGAGAAAATCATACCGACTCTAAAGAAACCAACAAACCCACTTCCTACTCTTCAGTTCATGTTTTGGTAAGTCCGATAATTTTCATCTTAATCTCCTTAGCGTTTCCTGAGGATATCGGCGGGTGTTCGAGGAGATGTCACGGATCGTCTTACAAAATTATCCTTTCTTTATTATAGAAGGCGATACGTATCCTCCACCCGCCTGGCGAGCTCACTTAGCAAAATCCCTACAATTCTTCAAATATTCCGTTATTCTTATGACTGTGTTTAATTTCGACCCCTTTGGATATCTTGGTTACCCTACACCTAATTTTGTCTCATATGCCATGCAAAATAAAGTGAGTTAAAAGTAGCCTAAGTCCATGCTTTTGTGTATAAAATATTTAGCTGATTTAACTGTGTTGCGCAAATTAAACTGTAAATGAATCGCTAAAACCTGTTGCACTTATTTTTTAGGACCCATTAATCTTTTTAATGACATGAGATCACGTTCTGTTTGCGTCTTCTGTTATCACTTCGAATGGATTCTACACTACGAGCTGCGTATGCCGTACTTGTACCGTAGTCTGAAAGTAATTTGGAAAATAATCCTTATCCATGTGTTCGTAACGCATTTAACTTGTGTTACTGGTGATATACACTTCCCAATAATTAATAGCAAATTAAGATCTCCAGTTTATTGTGTTTTGATAGGAAACTCAACTATAAATTCCGTTTTTTTAACTTATGTACTTACTGATACGATCAGTCAATAAGTTTGGATATATAGTTCGGAAAGTGAGATCGATAGACATGATTATGATTTTAAATTGCTGTCTACAATCAGCATCTGTTCACGTTTGTGTTTTGGTTTGATGTATTGTCAACCTGATTTTCAATCGTCTAATGTACCAGTGAATTGTTTGTATTTATTAAGTTGATCGAACCTTCATATGAAAGAAAAACACTTGTTAATATATTTTATGCATTAAAATATATCTATTATTGTTCGGTTTCATAAAAAACGCAATTCAACATCGATTTATTTGTCTTCAGGTTTCTTTCTGTTTGATGACGTTTCTACTTGGAAATATTATTGAAGGACAGCTGCTGTCTACGGGCGCTTTCGAAATATACTTAGATGGTGAGTATCACATTACTTTTGCAAGTCAACTGCGCATTTTTGACACCACCTACTGATTTTAAAAAAGTTGTCTTAGGTATTAATATTTACTATGTCGAAATAGAAGAATTAAATTCGGGAAAAATTAGTAAGTTATAAGTAATATGTATTTCATTGGATTCAGTAGTAAGGGAGTAACCTGAATGCAGACAAGGTCTTCAAAAAACGAAATTTTTGAGAGTACATAGGAAAGATATTGCGAAAAAACCAATACCATATTTTACGATATCATTTCTTGTATAAGAAAGTGTTTCTAAATTGGCACAGCAGTAGTTTTCATTGTTTCATTTGCAAAGCACTGGAGATACTCTTACTCGGCCTAATAACTACATACAAGTTCATACATCTGGATACGAACTACAAATCAGTCAGTCAGCTACAACATAGGACCAGGCACATATATTCATCGGTCCAGGTTGCCATACCTCATTAGTTCAACAAGATAAACACCGGACTCATAGAAGTAGTTAATTCAGTGGTGGTAATATATAGAAGAAAGATTGCATGTAAGGAGATAGTACAGGAAGAAAGAATTGGTTCATAGAAAGAAAGATATGAAGTGATTTTAATCTCTTGGTTTGAAGGAAGACAAAGAGTGTATACACCGACGCCATTGTGATCGATTCTGAGCCATGTCACCATTGGTTACGATAGTCACGCGGACCTCAACCAAGTAGTCTGCATCTACCAACATGGCCCAGACTAGAAGTTAGTGACTTCAAGCAGTGATGCCACGTCTTGGTTTGGCCGCCACTAACTTTCTTCCAACCATCCCCAACACCGGTTAGCATTGCACATCGTGGTAATCGGTGTTCAGGCATACGAAACACGTGGCCCAACCAACTCAGTCGATGAAGACTCACAACCTCATCAACTGATTTACCATCATTCCCTAATACCCTGTGTCTAACCTCACTATTACTCACTCGGTAATCCCAACAGATGCCAGCAATATTTTTAAGGCAGCTATAGTCAAATACTAGTAACTTACGAATATCTACTCTTAATGGCCACATTTCACAGCCGTCAAGTAGAACGGAACGAACTGCAACACAGTATACTTGTCCTTTTATCGAGAGGCGGATATCTCGCCTTCTCCAAAGGTGACGTAAATTGGCAAAAGCCAAACGAACTTTCTGAATCTGTGCAGAGATTTCGTCAGGCACCAACCCACTAGGGCCGATCAGACTTCCAAGATAAGTGGAGTTGTCGACACGTTCGATTACTTCACTCCCTATCCTTAGTTGAGGTGTTGACGCAGGCCAGCAATGAAGCAACAACTTGCGTTTACAGGGGGAGGAACGCATCCCAAACATCCTGTCATTGTTTCCCAGTGCTACCAAAAGACTGCATTTTATCAGCGTCTTCACCAAACAGGACTATTTCATCTGCGTATTCTAAGTCGATAAGTGGACTTCCTGGAAGGAGATCAATGCCTGAGAATTCAGTCGACAAGACCGTTATTTCCATCAGTATGTCTATGATGAAGTTGAACAAAAAATGGGGAAAGTGGACAGCGTTGACAGACACCACTTGAGGTTGCAAAAGCAGATGGCAGTTCGCCGTCAGCTCTCGCTCGATTAGTAATGTACGAGTAAAGAGTCTTCACAAGGTTTATATACTTTTAAGGTACACCTTTCAATGATAGACACTGCTATAGAACCTCTCGGTCAACAAAGTCAAATAATGCTTTTAAGTCAAGAAAGACCGATAAGCATGCCTGTGTTCTAGGACCTGACGAATGGTGAATATATGGTCTATGCACCCACGACCAGGTCTGGAGCCAGCTTGATTCTCTCGTGTTTGCAGTTCACGAGTTTTTGTTAGGTGTCCGATAATTATTGAGGCTAGTATTGTAGATGCTAGCTGATGGGCGAACTGCCATCTGATTTTACAACCTCAAGTGGTGTCCGTCAAAGCTGTCCACTATTTCCATTTTTTGTCCAACTTCATCATAGACATACTGATGGAAATAACGTTCTTGTCGACTTAGATGCCATGTTAGTCAAACTAACCCCTCTATGGTTATCACAGAATGATTTTGACCTTTTCTTATATATAGGGACAATCAGTTGTGACTAGTCAGATGGGATTACGTCCAGCTTCAGATTTTAGCTAAAATATTAGTCAACCTAATCGCTAAAATTGAACCACCATCCTTAAAGACCTCTGGAGTCAATCCATCTGGATCAGCTGCTCCTCCTCGTTTCAGATCAACTATAGCCTTTTGAACTTCAGCTAGGTTTGGGGGACCTACTTCGATTTTCCATTAAGGCTGGTTGGGAATGGTAGGTAGTTGTAGAGTAGCTGAAGGCCAACCGAAATGCTCCTTAAAATGTTCCACCCATAGTTATAAACGTCTGGACTGGGAGCAGATGAGAGTGTCGTTTTTTTCCGAAATAGTCTGTAGAACTGTCTTGTGTTACCTACAGCCGCCGCTTTTCCATCACTTGTTTCTTTGCCGACCACTGCTCACGGTCGTTCCTTAGACTTTAGCTTAACCTAGATCTGATTTGTCTACGCTCTTCATCGTGTTCAGAACCTGATGGGATGAGTTTACGAGAATTTATCAGTGCAATAGACTTAGTAGAAATCCACTGATTTTTCGTGATTCTTTGGTCTAAATCACTAATAAGTGTCACAGCTGTTTGTATATCTTTTCAAGCAACATCTGGGTCAGCCTCGTTTTCAGAACTACCTAAGTGTGACCTCAGTTGTTCCTGGAATCTCCTTTCGGCTTTCTCGTCACTCAGTTCAATTCTATCGAGCCTCCAACGATGACTGATGGCAATATGGTCTATTTGAGTCTATTGTTAGTTTGGTGCAGGCGGTCGCCATATTAAACGATACCTCTCTTTATGCTTAAAATTAGTATTTACTAAAAATAAGCAATTGTCTGAGCACAGTTGCAGCAGACAATAACCTTTATCAGTTCGCTGACCTGAGATACTAAAACACCCACCTAAATGTCTTTCTGTTTGGTTTTAAGCTACCTACTTGGGCATCAACGTCATATGCTACGAGTACTATGTCTGAGCGTTTAGCTTTCTAAAGAAGTTCAGAGAGTTTTCTGTAAAAGTCATCTTCCACTTCACCCAGGCTGCAGTCAGTAGGAGCGTAGGCAGAAACGACGAAAAGGCAACGACGTGTGTCCCTATCCTTCCGAGTTCTTATGGAGCCGTTTAGCCGAACAGCGCATAGACGACTGTTAACGGGGATCCACTCTAATAGCGCTTGTTCCGCCCTCATGCTTAGTGTTATGCCTACACCTGCTAGTCCCCAAGAACTAGCCATCGGGTCACCAGATAAACAGAGGGTGTATCTCGTCGGCTCTCCGTTTTAGCAAGGTGAAGTCGAATGAATGACTGCACTAGGATCCTGTATGCGTGTTTCGGAGATACAGCATACGTCAATGGTACGAAATTCTAGGGTTTATCTAAGGAGGCCTGCTGACCGATTTGACATAATGTGCGTACGTTGAAGGCTCCAATGTGTAGTTTGGAGCGAGGTTTCAGTAGACCTGGGACAGTGTTTTGCGCACTAGAATCGTTGGCTATGGTGACACTTGAGGAGGAAGTTGAAAGAGTATGTTTAGAGTTGAAAGTCGATGTCGGAGGAATAATGTTGATTGATGAGAAGAATTGATTATCAGTACAGTGGTCTTGAGTGCTATTAGAGGTGTAAGGGTGTTTATCACTTTCCATTTGTTCACACTGTGGAAGGGTTCTTCTGGAGGTACCTGAAAAGGAAATTGGATTAGAGGTGGTCATAGTGACCCGAGAGCGGGACTGCAGTGTCTATTGGACAACTGCTTGAGGCCAGTCACGCACGACCTTTTCATGTTAGTTCCGTGCTTGTTGGGACCCTACAGTCGGAGACGGATATCCGTGAGATAAGGCAAGGTGTGCATCTTTAGGATCGACATTTTTAACCCCACCCCTCCTAGTGGGAATGCATCACCGCTGTTATGCTGGTTTCATGAAAGAAACACCTTACTGCCGTCACATCTCTGTACGGCGTCGCCTTCGGACCTTGAGTTTGATGCATTTAGTCTCACCGTTCTTCAACCGACCTGTCTGGCATGGTAGGACCTTGAGGAAAGATTGTCCTAATCAGTATATCTCGCTTGATAGCTCAAAGCCTTGTACACAAATCTATTATTGGTAAATCATATACATAAATGTGGTCAACCACGTTCCACTTAATGTTTGCACAAATTGTCTTTAAAAAAACATTCCTAACTGCCAGTGACAAACATGAACACGTCAGTTAAACACTTTACCATACTCTAAGAAATTCATCGATTAATTATCCTTAACAGATTATATTATCATCACCTCTACTTTCGGTGTAAATATCAAATGAATTCAAGCATCTAGAGTGTAATGAATTCACGTCTACAACATATGATGCGATCATATTTTACTTTACTTAAATCGATTTTCATAGTGAAGTAATGTAGGTTATTTTTTACACAATAAGTAGGATTCAGAGTACTTATACAAAGTGATACATGGACATTTGTACCAGATATGCTGATAACTCCGTTACTCTACATTCTTTTGTGATCCTACGTTTTGTCAAGCACCAAATCACTAAGTCAGCAATAAGTGCCTCCTACCCCTTTTGATTTTCAGAATTTGCGTGTTTAAGCTTTGGTTTTTAGCGCAACTCCTACTTCAGGGTTGCGCTATTTCTTAATGAGTAGAAAAATTAGATTATCCGACGTTTCATAACTCAATGTAAGCTAGTTCTTCAAAGAATAAATAACCAAGTCAATTTTGATTCGGCTTACACTGACGAAACGTCAGAAAATCTCATTTTTTTACTCATTGGGATGTTACATATATATTATTTCATTTATAACAATCCACACAATGCTCAATTTATTCGCAATTACAAAATCGGACCTTGGTAGTGATACCTTCAGTGATCATTGTTTTAATGTTTATTTTCTCACTTTGCGACGTACTTCTCACTTTCAAAGGATATCTTCGCTTTATCCCGCTATTTTTATTATCACTAGTACTTCTGTCCTTGTATAATCGTTCTTACTTTCTACGCTTAGTTTCATAATCAAAGTCGGCCCACAATACATTCGCTCTTATTTACTTAAAGAGAATTCCCAATACTTTATATCAATGACATACCTTCTAGATATACAAGAACTTTCGTCTAAATTTGATAGAATAGTTTCACAGTATTTGAGCGCCGAGTTGATGTAAGACATTTAAGAGGAAGAATGTATTTGTAAAATCTATGGATTTACTTCAAATTCATTCGCTGAGATTTTACAAATACATTCCTCTTTAATGTCTCATACATTCTAATGTTCACTATAACGTCAGTGAATATAACTAATCAGAATGTTATCTTGTAATGCGACCTAATCTTATAAATCGTCAGATAGAATGTTTTGTATTCTAAACCAGGATTATAAAGCACCGATAACTTGATTGAAAGAATCCTATGTTCCATTCAAATCCAATCATAAACTTCAGTGTCAACATCTGGTAACTATCTTCATATATTCACTCAGTGTCACATATCCTTTATTAACTTCTCTCGTAACATTAGCATTTCAAAAATTATACTTAGAATTTAACTGATGATATTTTCCTTGTTTGGTTGATTGTTTTCTGGTTACCTCTTCCCGGAAACAAGATGTTTAAGAAATTTCACTGGCGTTTTGAAAATTATAACTCGGAAATTCCCGTATCACAAGTTAAATCCTATTCAATTTCACATTTTTCATACGAGATGAATAGTTGTTATTCATTTATGAAATCCTTCAACTTGTTAAGGTATTGTAATACTAATTTTCAGCATTGAGAGGTGGCATTTATTGACAGTGATTCACCTTTTACATGTATTTAAAAAAACTAAAAGCATTCTAACTAAATATGTAATCAAATTTTTTTTTTCCTACTGAAAGTCCGATTATATTGATTTGATTTTCAGATATCCCAATCTGGTCGAAATTGTACACAAATCGTATCCCTCAACCAGAAGAACTTCTTCACATAATTGACAATCACGTAAAACTTCGAGATTCGACAAAGACAACACAGTCCGTCGGTCCACCTATGTAGTACTTAATACGTACTACTGGCATTAGTTTTCTTTACTGATAAAAGCGCAAGGTCGTATCATATTTGAGCTCTTTCTGGCTTTATGACAGTTTCCACATCAATCTCTGTTTAGAGAATGTGGTTAACTTGATGCTAACCCGTTCTAGTTCAAATATGTCGATTAGCCTTTTCACCTTTATTGTATGTGATGTATTTTCTTAAAAATTGACTACCTTTAGTTAAACTTGCTCCTTTGTATATTGTTGAGCATTTTCATTAGTGTAAAGTGATATTCATTTACTTGTGAAAATAAATGTCTTGTAATCGTCTCGACGTAAATTTCTGTATACATTTAGATTCCGACACAAAATATTTGGTTATAAGACTGAAAATTGTCCCAATTGTATACTGAAAGTTCAATGGTTTGCTTTCACAAACAAAACTTTCGATTTATTACTGAATATGACATTCGCACAACAGTGGAAATACGGTCAGTAGTCAAGTGGAGATTAAGCGAGCACGGTGCAGAAAAACATATTTGTTTACTAAAAAGAGCATATCTTTGTATAACATACATCGACTTGGATATAAGCAATACCCAGGATAATAATTGATGGACGAAACTTTATCCTATTCTTACAAAAATTACTAGTGTAATGTGCTTAGGTAATTGAAGCACACTACGATTAGTGACAAAATACACTACGTCTTCGGCGGAGTAGGATCTACAACACCGCTTACGTCGTTCTTCAAGACAATCCCTGATTTTCTCACATTTGAAATAATCTGGAATATATACTCCAGTTTCAATATTTTCCACCTGATTTCACTAGAATGTGGTCGAAATTTTTGGCATGTGTCCCAGTATTATCTGGTCGGCCCTATCGAACGATATAAGTAACAGGAATATTGTTTGTGAACGTCATTGCCGTAGGGTGGTAAGTCAGTCAAAGACCAGTTGTCTGAGCATTATCTATTCCGTAAGTCGGATTACAGAGAGATTCACTAAACCTAGTACTCAAGAACTTCATCTGAGGAATCAGAAACCTTACCGTAGAACTCCTATGAACTTCAGTCAGTGGGAATAGAATTTAAACGGAAGGTACTTATTTTGCTTTTAAACCAAAATCAATGATACCACTAGTGTCTGAATACGCGGAGGATGAACTGTTGGTTTGATTAAAATTCGATACGTAGTTCATGGTCTGAGTTCTTACATATCTATCAAGAAATCTATTAATTCGTAGTGATAATGGTAGAGACAGAAATTTAATTTAAAGGTGCATCCTTAACTCCCTAGCGAAATGTAGTTGATTCTGGATCACAGTTTTATGTATTCACAATCAAAATCCTAAATGTAAAAATTACGTAAGTTGATTGCAATCTATCCAGAGATGTTGGAACGCTTGATAAAGTTGGGATTATCACATGATAAATCCACTTCCCTTGGATTGTAAATGATCCCAACTTATTATCTGTATTCATGGAGTCGACTAATTAAACAGTGTAGACCGCACTTGACTATGAAAAGTATGGTTTCCAGTTTCATATACTAACTAGAAAATTCAAATTGTACGATGAATATTGGACTTATTTACCGATTACCCAAAATAAGTGCGCCCAACAGTTTTATCATGTCAACCTAATTATAAGTATTTATCTAAATACTGAAATGACAGGTTTGTAGCTACAACACACGCTGCATTAAAATCATACAAAACCCTGAAAATATCAGCGCGTGGAAGATTGAGAAAAATCTTATGGATGCGTTCACCTAATATTCTAAAAAAATTCTGTACGATTGTTTCACCAAAATTAGGACAACAAAACAATTTTTGTACATCATAAAATTTAGTTATTAAAAAATATTAAAACCTAGTACATTTTGAAATCTTTAAAAATCTAGTCCAGGTAGAGGATATTTTGAAGCAAATTCCTCAATTTCAAGCCTCAACTTTTCAATCATTGAACGTACTTCAACATTTGTTTCAACAACAACCTAGTTAAAAAGAAATGAAACTAGCTATAGTATATACACATATCTGAGTAACGTTATAAACTTGAGAATTTGACGATCAAATAATGGGTTGCAGCCAAGAAAAAGTAATTTATTCAACTAGATACCGCTCTCTACCACGTGCGCATCACTTAACCTTGTGGCCTTAGATGGAGATTTCATGAAAATTAGGCATAGTAGAGAATCAAAATAGTTTGCTTGATCACTGGTAATCCATAGTTTATGCCAATCCACATGCAGACAGTTTATTATAAACTGCTAAATTAACCAAATATTGTTTAAGCAGTATGTGTTAGCATTCACTTAAGTGTGGATCATTCTATGGTCAATCATATGACATAGTTTGATAGTTGACCCATTTAATAAAATGCGCCCTCTTACTCAATGATTGTAAAAAAAACTACATAAAAATGTTTACAGTTAAGTGACAGGACATTTTCATGTCACAGTCATAAGTAAACTAAACCATGACTTTTTATCAATCAAATTCTACAGAAATATTTGATTTTTGGTTCATAATCACGAAGCAAAAACAATAAATATCTAAGTGAACGGTTGTTTTCAGTAGCCTTATCAACCTACTCCTTGCTAAAAATCCATAACTTATAATGATCAAAATAAGGTATACATAAATATGTGAATTAGACAATGCTGCACGTTAAAATGATTCGCTTTGAGTTAGCGTCAAAAATTCTATTTCTAAGTCCATTCTTATTTGGTAGGTAGTGACCACCACAAGAAAACAGATGGGGCATTTATGATTTTATATAAAACCCCGACCGTTGTTGCTACCTTGACGTGGTGGTCGAGGTTGCCTATCGTGATGAAGCAACTGAGCTATACTGTCGGGAACAACCGTTCCTCAAGTATCTACCATGCCAGACAGGTCGGTTGAAGAACTGTGAGACTAAATGCATCAAACCCAACGATTCTAGTGCGCAAAACACTGTCCCAGGTCTACTGAAACCTCGCTCCAAACTACACATTGGAGCCTTCAACGTACGCACATTATGTCAAATCGGTCAGCAGGCCTCCTTGGATAAACCCTAGAATTTCGTACCATTGACGTATGCTGTATCTCCGAAACACGCATACAGGATCCTAGTGCAGTCATTCATTCGAC